ACAATTCAACTTCCCTAACTCCCTAAACAAAAACACATCGCAAAATTAAGTCAAAGTAAAGGGCAGACCCCTCCTACGCTCCCAGGACTTTCTCAGAATATAACAACAATAAATCAGACATAGCAAGAACCATGTACAGCAACCACAACGCTATTGGTGATCTGTTGACGGAGACGGAATCCGGAGCTCCTCACGCCACGGAAGCAAACGCCAGAGTGAGCTCCCCTGGGTTGGTAGCACCGCCCTTTTTAAAGTCATCTGCTTCAGGATTCGCCAATCACGTTCCTTGATGAACAGCCAATACCTGCACACATGCACCAGTACAGAAAACAACACCCACACAAATAACAATGCCAGGTATCGTAACAATATGTACTACATTGACGAGAGTGATGTAGTAATGTTCACTGACCATCTGATTTTCACCAGTAAGAAAAAGGTGTTGTTTTGCAGAACATCACAGTTACAGGTGCATCTCAATAAATTAAAATGTCGGAAAAAGTTCATTTATTTCAGTAATTCAACTCAAATTGTTCAACTCGTGTATTAAATCAATTCAATGCACACAGACTGAAGTAGTTTAAGTCTTTGGTTCTTTTAATTGTGATGATTTTGGCTCACATTTAACAAAAACCCAAAATAAATGAACTTTTCCACGACATTCTAATTTATTGAGATGCACCTGTATATATGACATGAGAATATTGCCTGAAGTTAGGAAGAACATTTTAAGGAAAATATAATTATATTTTTTTCTTCTCCAACCTTGTCTGTGGTGTAAAAACACCCCTGGCCAAATGCCCCCAGAGGGCATCACTTCCCACTTTGATAATTACTGTAGTTACCATGTTCTGAACATCACATCCTTTCTTTTTCCCTCGGATGTAATCTATCTAGGTGGTTGAATAAAAATATTTGGACTTTATATCTAAAAATTACCTCAACTTAGCACCAGCATCAGCTAGGCCTGGGCGATAAAACGGTATCGATATTTATCGACGGTACACATTCTTCAATAACGATATAAAAAAATGTCGATATAGTGCACGATACAGGCACGTGCTATGAGTGACGCATACAGCACACACAAACACGTGCTGGAATGAGTGCTGTGATGATGATGTAAGTGACGTTGTTGCATTTTAATGTTTTGTTAGTTTAGCCCACGAGATGCGTGCGGTGTTATGCATTCAAAATATTAGAGAAATATAGAAGCTCAATGCTTAGAAGATCTTGAATGAGTTCAAACCGAAACCAATTCACACAGAACGCATATTCAGCGTATTTTTTAGACGGACAAATATGACTGCTGCACTCGCATCTCACAGAAGAGATGTAGCCACGCAAAGTTAAAACAGTTTAAACTTTTAGAAAACACGTCGCGAATTTGTGGAGGTTTATTCCCTTTCACTGCATCTCATATGTTTTTAAATGCAATCTGCGTGATGGCCAATTCGGCTCTTTGGATTAAGCAATGCATAAATACATGATGCCATTTTGTTCATAATTGTTTATGCAATTTACGAAATTATATTTGATTCATATGAGTTAATTTAGACATAATGCACGTTTTTTTATAGACAGTTATTTCCATGCGTTGACATTATGTGCTGCATTATTTTGCTCATTGCGCCCTCCTGTGGCCTCAGGAGACAAACCAAAAGTTTCCTTAAGTCTTATTTAATTTGCATATAAAATATTAGTTATTTGTTTAATTTTTATTGTGTGTTTGACTGTTAAAACAAAAAAAAATTGTTGTTTGTGTCAATAAATTGGGTTAATTTAAAAATACAGTGGTTAAATAAAAAAAAAAATTCTATTTCTCTTTGTTTTAAAAAAGGTTATAAAAAATGTCAATAATTATCGATACCGAACGATATGAAACATTATATCGTTGATACATTTTTTTAGCTATATCGCCCAGCCCTAGCATCAGCTAACAATATTTACTGATTTTCAGTATGGTTATGATGAATAAACATTCATATCTGTCTACTCGGCTAGTTAATCCAAACAATATAAAAACAGACGTCACATAGGTCTAAATGTGTAGCATTTTAATAAAACTGTTAACGTTACAGCAGCGGGGAATATGAACGTGCATGAGTTATTTTATTTAGTCGGTGTTATTTTAATGTTTCATTTTTTATTTTTAACCTAAAACATAGAGACACTGATGTTGATGTGTCTGCATTCAAGCATTTCAACGGGCTTAAATAGATCACCCTTTACAGCAGATTTAGTGCACAAACAACTGACAGTTGTGACCTAAATATGATTTTCATATTTCATATTTAACAGCATCAGACGCGCGCGCGCGCTCACAAGATCTCCCGGTTCTTACTTGTGAATTCAGTTCACTGGAGACTCACACTAAATGGTTCATTTGAATCAGTGAGTTGTCGACTCGAGAACAGCTGCAATCAGATCATTCTAATTCGTGAATGAATCGTTTGGTGCAATTTGCAAATCGATTTAAAAGGTTAATTGAAAAGAATCAGTTCGTTCTTGAATCAGACACCGCTTCTGCGTGTCAGAGCACGTGGTATATTATAAGGAGTAACGATATGTTTTATGAAATGTAGTGAAGTAAAAAATACAATCTTATGCTTTGGAATTTAGTGAACTAAAAATAAAAGTTACTCAAAATAAAACTACTCCAGTAAAGTACAGATACTTGAAAAATTTACTTAAGTACAGTAACGAAGTAAAACTACTCTGTTACGGTCCACCCCTGGGAATGGTGCATATATGCAAATAACCCTCACACCAGAGAGTTGTGATCAACCCTCTGAAAACATACTTTTGGCACCATCAGAAAGGTGCCAATTTGCAAATCCCTCCTGAGCATGAAAGATTAAAAAGAGAACTCAGAAATAATTAAGGAACTCGGAGAACAAAAACAATGTTCTACAAGAAGAGAATTTTGGGGAGTTCAGAAACAGCAAACTTCTCTTCAGGGATCCACCATCTGCATGTTCTAGATTGTCTGTACCTTCTACACAGACTTCAGAACCTTCAACTTTAAGGAATTTGTGGAATTAAAGGGGTCATATGATGTTGCTAAAAAGATCATTATTTTATGTATTTGGTGTAATGAAATGTGTTTATGCGGTTTAAAGTAAAAAAAACACATTATTTTCCACATACTGTACATTATTGTTTCTCCTCTATGCCCCGCCTTTCTGCAACGTGATTTTTACACAG